ACACGTTATACAATACTTGCCAAAAGAAGCTGGCATGAAATATAATTTAACCAGTTTTAACCATATTATTTTTGTACGTTTTTTGCTACATGTGAAGCCGTAAAGCGTCTTTCAGCAGATCCTTAGTATTGGCCTGAAATAAAGTCTATTTGTCCGGGATCTCTTTCTCGATATTTCAGAATCTTATGTTTCTGAAAAATGATGTTGCAACAGTCAGTGTCATATGATGTGGTACTCTCAAACAAAACTCAGCTGACTTGCCTTGCTCGCAATTTCTTCCCTGGTAGCCAGGCTTACAGAGACAAGTGTAATCACCATTGTTATTAACACAGGTGGCGCCGTTTTGGCAAGGCTTGCTTGCTTTACATGGATCTAGGAAAGTAAGAATTAAAAAAGAAAATCCTCCTCAATAATGTTATACCAAGAATTTGGCGAGCGGTTCGTCGTTTCGATGTCTGTACATCATTATCAAGAATTAAAATCAATAAAACTGTAAAAGCAAGAGTAAGTTCAGAGCGGTTGAAATTAATAGATGGAACGCCCTTGTTTGTGCACAATGCTTATTTAAATAAAATATCGTCCCACAAATTGAATTTAACGTGTACAGTGATTCAATTTGCACGAAAGCATTTTAAAGGTTTTCGCACAAAAAATGCCGTGTGCTAAATTTTTGCACTCTTAATTTAACGTTTGCAACTTTATTTACGGACTTTTATCATTGATGATATCGAAACGTTGAGCAGGCTTGATTTTTGTAATTCTTAGATCGTGTGGCATATTTATTCATGACTAAGCTTGTTAGATGCCCGTAGAGTTCAGATTGTATAAAAAACTCAGATAAGGAAGAAATAACCATTTAATCCAAGCTGTTTGCTTAATGTAATCTATAATGTTTTGTATTGCAACAGTGGCAAGAGCAAAGTTTACCACATACCAAACCCTGCATTTCCACAGTAACGCAACCAGCATACAGGTGTCCTTGCCAGCTTATACACGTAAAACCCCGTGCATTTCTTTATCTGGATGTTAGCATGCCAATTGCAACAACTTCCACTCCAATGGAAACACACTTTGCCGTTGACAACTTGTCCGACGCTTGTTGGATGCGAGCCGCTTAGCCATCCAGGGGCATGGG